GGCGCACGACAAGAATGCGACGATTCTGGGTCCACAATCAGCATAGCCGGGATCCTCATAAATGCTCCAGGATCGTCTCGTATCTTCCCGTGCTATCTGAGAGAATTGAAGTTTTTAGTCATGTTGAGCAAGATCATCCCCAGCAGCCTCGAATTTCATTCTGAAGTTTCTCGAATGATTCCATGCATTCTTGCCTTCAAGTGGTCGCGAACTGGTTTTGTTAGTGAGTGGGTTAAGCCACTGAATGCTCTGAAGCGCATAACCGACTGGTGGATGACGATGACGACGACATGGTCTGCTCTCCCCAAACGAGTCTAGTCGCTTACGCAATGCCTCATCAAGTGAACATTGCTTGCTTTTGAGCTCGGGTGATTTAGCATCAGAGCTGATCGTCTATCCTCGTAATTCTGGCCAGTCCGTCTGGATCATCAATGTTATCGCCAGTGTCGGCCTAACTATTTTTTGATGACTCGAGGACTTTTCCTGACTTTTTTCTGGATTCAGAATCGGTCTCTGATTAGGCCGTTCGTCTCCGGAGGTGCTCCCCTTCTCAGTGCCTATTGTTTCCTGCCTTGGAAAAATTTCCGTGAGCCAGACGATGGACTGGGCTGGAAGAGATTCTCGCCCTGAGATTGCTAGTCGGAATCGTTAAGATCTCCCCGGGGAGATGTCACGCGGGTATATTTTTTCGATTTTCTTCGCGCAGTAATAATTCACCCATGGCCCGATACCGATTCGAGGTTCGCCGATGGTTGGTACCAGTGTTTCAGCCACAGTTCGCTTTTCATGTCACTCGTGCTGGGCCAAGTGTTGTCAAAAATCGAATTCGCTGTTGTGGAACCGGATGATGACAATCAGGACAGCTACGGTAACCGGTAGCACACTTCGATTTCTGCCGCGCTCCCTTATAGCGGCTGTCAATGGTCGTCGCAATCTTGCGAGGGCCTCCTCCGAAAGGAACATCCACGTAGCACGAGCCCCGAGAGATGCCGGATGCGCGCCAGGAAACTCGTTGCCTTCTTGTTGGGTCCTTTCCTCTCCAACAAAACAACAACTCGATTGTCGAGCGTCCCTCGGCCGAACGACACTAGTCAGCATTTCGAACATCGCCAAGGAAGCGATTAAGATATCTTCCTCTTCATTTCGCCCACTAAGTGTCCCGCATGCTGTCTCGTTCGGTCTCTCAGATTACAGCAGCTGTAAAACGAGGGAAGCCTATCACACACAAACAAAAGAGCGACATGCACGAATAAACAGACTTTACAGACCGACCGAAAAAACAGGCGGCGAAAGTGCATTCGATGGGATCGCGATTGCTCCGCGAAATGCTCCATGCAGCTCTGTGTGAGTTGGGAGTATTTTCCTAACTTCGACTCCCTCAGGGAAGACTTCCCGTAATAAGGAATTCATTCCTGACTCTCTCCTTCATTTCTATCCGATCATTTTCCGGGATCGGATCAGGCTCCGGGATCGGAGTTCCTCGGGGAATGGGTTGGGGTGGGAGAGCCATGCCGTCCCCTCATCGCTCGAAAATGGGCGATCAAACCGGATCGTTTCGCTTGTTTGTAGCGAATTCTCGATATAGGAAAAAATTCTCTAAAACCTTCAAGAAGTCAGGTGTGCGGAACTCGATAGCCTTTTGTGTATTTGCGTGTGTAAATGCATGAGAGCGGAGTGAGAAAGAACTCGATTCGCCTGTCGATTTCAGGCTCGAAGCCGAGCGATTTTTGCGGCAGAAGAATTCCGGCTTAAAACTCGCCCAAATTCCCCGAATGATCCGATATCGACAACGGTGAGAAATTCGGGAATTTTTTTCGTGTTTTGAGCTCACTTTGCAGTCGGTTATTGGCCTGATTGGGAGAATTCGATACGCTTTATTGGCCCCGAAACACTCGGCTCTCTCTCCTCTTCGACATCAAGCTCACTGAAGTGTCTTCTGAAGTCTGCCAGCGAGTTCCAAAAACGAGTTATACAATCACTAGACTCCGAAGTCACTCCACCGGTTGTGAGCGGACCGTTCGACGAGAGAGCTAATTTTAAGGAGGATGCTCCGAATCTTGGGAACTCGAAGTTTTCCGAGCTTCCACGTCCATTTCTTTGCCGCATCGCTCCCTGGGAATAGAATGGAATTCGCGATGGATTCTCGGAATTTATCTGGAATTCTCAGTATTTACGCGGGGTTGGGATCCGATCTGAGCCTCTCGACAATCATTTTCGAGAAATGGATCCGGCCGAAACTAGCCGACGAACGAGGTCTCGGGTGTGGGTTGCGTTTGTTTAGAGGGAGCATTTCCCGAGGCTTGTGGCGATTCAGCGGACTGTTATAAAAAAGTGGGCTTCCGAGAACTAGGTATGAACTCCTTGATTCGGGATGCCTTCGGGTCTGTTTGGGTAACTTGCAATGATCGCAAGCACCGTAGATGTTGACGATCCGTATGGGTGTTGCGAAGTGTTCGGTTCGACCGACCCTGAATAGAGAGCCAGACAAGCAACCCGCGCGGCGGCATATCTCCCCCTGTAACGAAACATCGACAGAGTTGAATCTCATCCGCGAGTGAGCGGCCGGAGTCCTCTGCTCCGAATATCGATACAAAAATTCTGCTCTATGAAGAATGTCTTTTCATACCCCGAGAGCACAGAGATTGCAACCGGTTTTTAGTCGGATGCGAGCCTAAATTTGCCTAAATATTGCACCTTGACCGGCTCCTTTCCTGCCTTGTGCTAATGCTACTCTTAACGGACCGCTCGGATTAAACGAATCCAGCTGAATTTCTGTGACAAAAATGTGTCGTTTCCCCTGTTCTCAGAAGGTGTCAGGTGTCAAGCCCTCTCTAGAACTGGTGACCATCGAGCAGCTGTACTCTTTGTGTACATAATGATCAATTTTCGGAACGGATGAAAGTCTCGTATGAACCAGAGTACGTATATTTCTCGATCGTCCCGCTATTCAACGATACTTTATGTTTTTTCACAACTCCTGCGGACGTTCCATGTCCCCGGCCGTACAATGTTCTCGCGTCCAGACGGTATCTATGGATTCAGGTATCTATGGATTAGCGGAAGCATTCTTGCTGGAGACATCGCTTCCGGACAATTCGATGGTTTTGGCCTCAGGTCCCGAGCATGCGGAAGGAGCCTATTATCGACAGGCCTGCTAGAACTATCCTCACTTCAAACCCACCGGAGCAGTCGGTCTCTCAAAAATGGACTCTGGAAGCCGGCAGACCGTCATGTTTCATGACACCCTACTGCTCACTTTCACGGATCCACTTTCACTCTACCGTCTCCTTGACCCGCCCCGCAAGAATACATACTTCAGTAGAGTTTAAATCCAAGAGACTCGATCGCTCATGGGTTGAATATTGAACACAGCTCACTCTCCCTTCGGCATATGCCAGATATCTTTTAATCAATGAAAGTCACAAGAGACTTGCCTTCAGGCAGGAGCTGGGAGATATCACGCCTGTGTTTCTGCTCCCTCCATCGAGCTTGGAGTGGTCTGCGGATTCACAGGCTCGGGAAACGAATCGCGGAGTGCATTCACAATATTCTGTTCGATACCGAGACTTGCTGATGCACATCTTTCGCAATCCTCCATAGGGGCGATGTCCCAGCGAAATTCTGGCCACGCAAGGCCCTCCCGGTTGATGAGACGGAAAATGATCCCAAGACCTCTCCGCGATCATCCTTTCATCAAGGGGATATTATTCTTCGACATCCCTTTGGGCTGCGGGAAGCGGATTCCAGCCGAATCCGGTAACGGAATTCACTGAGTTATGGGCCTGCCGTCCCTCCTTGTGGTTGATACCCTGGAAGCTCTGCGAGCAGATCGATCGTCTTCTAGAAGGGGAAAGCACTCAAAATCTCCTTTGTCCCGTTTGGCTCCTCCAAGATGGAAAACCCAGTCTAGCTCGATCGAGCTCTGACATCGTCGGGCGTAAGAGAGTCCTTCTGGCTGCTTTCACAGACTCTCTCGGCGTGTCAGTAGTGATGGAACAACAATTGTTGGGGAATGCCGACAGTTAGTTATTCTTTTCAATCAAATTAGCACTATTCTCGGTTTCGCCAAGGAGGAAGCTGAGAGGCGTCTTCTCCCACGAGCCAGACTTATTCGAACATCTGTCATCGCTGTCCTGAACTCCGACAGAATAGGTTCCGACGAGTACTTTTCATTGGTTCTCCAAGATTCGCCTGGGTGGGAGGGGTTCGTTCAGTAGGCCATGATATATTGTGAGCCGTTCGCCCGGAGCTCTAGTCGGAAAGTCTTTGTATGAATCGAATCACTTCGGAAAGTCGACCTACGGCGATCCGCTCCATGTCGTCAGATTCCGCGGGGTAATCGAAGACTCGACATTGGAATCCCTCGGTTTTGACCCCTTCCCGACGTAGGCTCGATACCCATCCTTTTATGGCGGAAACCGCTCGATTCGGTTCTCTTCTGGCTCCCCGACCGATGAAGCGTATTAGTGTATCGGAATTTATCGTTTCCTCTCGAGAACGAGCCCTCTCCGATGTCCTTGCCATCTCGCAGTCTGGGAAACGAGGAGTGGGCCGATCCCGGGGACCGATTAGGCCGGCTGTGATAAGGCATGATCAATGAATAATTTGATGACAGTAGACTCTGGTCCCTTCCCCATCCTTCTCATGAGCCCCGTACACCGTGGGTTCATCTCATCCCACCCCGTCGTGATTGGATGAATGAATATGGATCGATGGGTCAAAGACAGTCACTCCGAGTTCGGAAGAATCACTTTTTTATTATCTCACAGCGATTCACTCCGAGCTCCGTCGGAAGTTCGCCATACGATCATGATCAGGCTCGACTCGAGGCTCTCGATCGACACACAAGATATGGAGAACGTAGGGATTTTCATAGAATAAATATTTGTGTGTACGCTCCGTCGTATTGTAGTGTGTTGTATTACATCATATATATCACATTCACGTAAGCATCAAGGCTTCGTTAAATTTCTGAACATCATCACAGGGTAATGTTAAAAGGATTCAAGCTCTCATCGCTCTGAGGAACGAGCTTCCCGAAATCTCAATGAAGTGAAATTTACGAAACGCTCGGGAGACGACCGTTGACCGCTATTCGGAATCATTTAGGTAAGTCGAAGCTCATTCCTGCAGCTTGAGGCTTGAGGATTATCATAGGTATCGGCATCTAGCTTACGCCAAAATCCATAGCGAAAACCTGAATCCAAGGTCTGAATGACTCGATCCCACAAGTACATGTCCGTATTTAAAGCTCTCTACTACGCTTTTCTAGAGTTCTTCTGATTCGGTGCGGGCGAAGAGCTTACGGATAGGTCTACTCGATTCGACTAACGAAATTGACTATCTTGCGTAGTTGTGGCCTGGCTCGTCACTCGCCATCTGCCACCAGGGTCCGACCGTATCGCATTTGCAAACGAGAGTTCTTGGAACGCGTTTTCCCTACGATGTACCCGAGCAGTTCCACAAATTATGCGCAGATGAATAACCTGTTCGATGGTGGAGCTATGTATGTATATGTACAGCTATACATCGTGTCCACTGGCTGGGCACTCTTCGAGACTCCGCACTTGTGCGGGACACTCGAAATGCACGCAGTGGAATACCTGCAACGGGAGAACGATTTTGAGATTGGGAATGGACTAATCTCGGCTGGAATGGCGGAGTTTTCGGCAGAAGCAGGAAGTGAAAAAAGTTTCCAGGCAAGAGCCTCGTTCAGAGCTCGACCTACCTCGTTCGCCGTGTTCGCGGTGCCGACGATCTTTATGAAGACAACCGGCAATGGCTTGAAGGTGAGGATCTGCCACGACCGGCAGCGCTGTGACGTGCGATCCGCGACGCGCGTCCACTCCTTCATATCCGTAGAAGTTTCGATGTAGTAGGAATAGGCCCGAGAGTCCCAATCCCACAAAAGCATTCGCATCGAGTCGACCATGTACGGTTGCGGCAATTGCACTATAATGGAGCCGGCTCCCACTTGATGACAGGTGTATCCGGAATCCCAGTCGTAACTCGTAAAATTCCCGTCGATCAATGTATGGCGGTTGCGGCTGACGCCCTCGATGACGCAGGCTTCCTTCCCCACAGACGCCACATTCTCTTCGGGAACGTAGATTCCTTGACTGAGTTTGAATTGTCTCTCTGTGTACATTGCTTCGAACGAAACCAGGTGGAACAGGTTATTCGCTGCGTTATGCGTTCCCACTACTCGGATATAGTTGACGACACGAGGCTCGAAATAGAGTTTTTGCAAAGAGCGACACAGATAGTTCGAGTGATCGATGACCCGATACCAGTCCTTGAGATTCATCGATACCTCGACGTAGTACGAGTAAGACCGTGGATCCTTGTCCCAGAGTCGGAGCACGACGTGGTTTATAATCGATGGTTCACCCAGCGCAATAGTTATGCCTTCCCCGTCATCGATGCTATGTTTCGTGAAGCCCCGATCGATATCGTACTTTCGATTCGTCTTCGGCTCGAGGAGATCTGAGCGAGGTTCTCCCGTGAGGACTTGAGCGAAATGACTTGCGGTCGCTACGTTCTCCTCGGGAAGTTTCGAGCCTCGATAGTTCAAGTCGACATCACGGCACTCGGTCTTTCTGTGTATCGCATCGAGGAGCTGATCCGCAGGAATTAAACCCGAGCCTCTGACGACATTCAAGAGATCGGCTGTCTCGATTAGCGGTAGCCGAACCGCTTTGAGGATCGACGAGACGTCTTCATCGTCTGGCCGCTCGGCGCGCCACCGTCTCACGGCCTCGAAAATCTCGATTTCTTTGACGAAGAAAGAATCGCGTGATAGCATAGCTGCGAGTGCAGCCGTCGACAATTGCAAGAACGGCTTGCTCTGCAGAACTGCCTCCGCATGCCGATCCATGAAGCGGCAGCAGGTCTCACTGAGTTGATCGAGGTGAAATAATTGCGCCTTGTCGTAGACCATGCACACATTTCGGACCGAGAGAATTTCTTGCAAATACCGGCACAGTGCCTCTTGAAGTTTCTCGAATCCATACTGATGCGCAAGCTCCAGGACTTCCAAGATGACGTCTTCTTTCAGCGCGCCAAGCGACAGGTGTCCGGTGTAGACGTAGGAGAGCAGCAATTTGAACGCTCCGAGGGGCGGGCCAGGCAACACGATCTCCTTCTGGGTGGATTCTCGCATACCTCCGCGGAGGAGGGCCCTTACGAAAAAGAAGGAATTATTCGGAAGCTTACATGAAGATGTATCTGATGGCGAGAAAGCGTGCTCACATGGCACCAGCGCCGGAATGACACGCACATGTGCGAAAAAAGAACGCATGGACCCGGAGAGTTTGTTTTGGGAAAATACCTGAAGTAGTCGCATGAGGAAGCCAGGATGAGTTTGTGCGCGGATAGACGTTCGTCTTCGACGATGAAAGTCACGTCGGAGTATTCGGTGTCGAGTAGGAGACTGCCTATGCATTCCGAGAGGAAATTAGTGTGTTCCACCTCCGAGTGACGGAGTGAATCGCTCTGGTCGCTCATGACGCAACCGCGTCCTCTCCGAACTGTGAACTTTCTGAAATGTCGGGGAAATTCCGAAATTCAGTCATTCGCTGAAAGTCACTCGCAGAAGTTTCGAGCTCATTCGACGGAGGGGGACACCGCTCAAGATGGGTGATCAAAAGTAGATACTACTGCTATTTAGATGATGGATAGACGCCTCACGGCTCCGACGAGAGGGACCTGGTCCGACTTGACAAGATGGTCGCAAGGACCGAGCTCAGGGTCAAATTAGGAACTCCTGTCAAGGCGTCCAGGTTTTGGAATTGTCCGCGGAGCCGAGCGATTGGTTGCTCTTCACACGTTTATCCGCTCCCACTCAACGCCGTTAGTCATCGAATCGCACAGGGATTAAAGTGACGTATGAATAAGGATTCCGCGATTCCCTAACCCCATTGAGCCGTGCTGGTGACAGTGACAATTTCGGTGCCCACGGTAACGCAACAAAGACGTCGCAGTGGTATAGCGAGACTTTGAGAAGGAATGACGGCTCAAGCGGAGGATCTCCACGAGAACCATTCTCGAGAGCACGCTTACCAGTTGGCTCACATTCAGACGGAGATTACTCCTACACGGAAACTCCGCGCAAAAACGATGGAGAAGAACAGCTGCACAGCACAACTGGTACTTTCATAACAAATAGATACAGCGACCTCACCGACAGCGGCGGCCTTGCTTTGGCGGTCGATTCAAAATCGAGCTCTGTCTCGGAGGAGCAGACCCTTCGGTCCGGGATTCCTAGTATTAGGAATGAGGCAACAGGATTGCCCCCGTCGGAGTCGGCGAGCATGCGGATCATACTCTCGGGTATGCAACCAATTGGATCTATCGGATCAAGGACCCTGACTCGAGTCTCGGGCCGATTTGATCCTTCTCCTCTACCCAAGGATTCCAGGCAGCGAATGGCCGGGGATGAAATTCAGCGATGCAAAAGATTCCTGTGGATAATGGTTTTGTTCCGTCACAACGAAAGCTTTCCGTGGAAGACTATCAGCCAATTTTGGCTCGAACCCGAATAAGTGATGCTTTAGTCAGTTTTGGTTGCGGTATGCAGGTGAGCGTGACTTGTATTCGAATTTCCCGCCTCGCGAGTCATTCTCGTGCGCCCAAAAGAATCTCTTCTAAAGGGGAAACTGGGCTCTGTACCTCCCCCCTTCGCTGACTGAAATTTTGGGCAGAGCTCCAGTATCGAAGGCCGGCGTGAAGTCGTATAAGAGACGTCCGGAGGCGTTCTGAGCGACAGCTGTGCTGCAACTTCGGCGGCCTAAGTGCGACAGTTTCCCGAATGTTGTGTTCGACGATAAGTCGGACTTCGCTCTGAAGTGTGACGGTGTGTGCTTGGATTAAAGGTGGGAACTTCTGAGCCGAAGGTTGTGTCTTTTTCCATGACAAGCCATTCCAGAGCACAAGAGTGAGCCACAGTGAAATCGGAGGCTTTCTTATCGCCAACATTCGAATGCGCACTCCGTCGGTGAGTGATCATGGTCGATTCTGTTCGATTCTATCCATCTGATTCTCGGGAACAGACGAATCCTTATGACAGCCGTAATATATATATGCCAGGAGACTCGGTCAACTCGCTTGGAATTTGCGTTAGAGTTCCAGCTGCGATCGGGACGTATGCGCAAGAGCGAGGCGCTTTGCAGCGCTGAGAAGTTATTGGGGCGGTAAAGGGCATCCGCTCAATGTTATTTCTGTTCCTTGGACGTTTTTACGCGTTCCCGCGAACCATTCCTCTCCTAGCTCGCTTCTGCGAGGGTCATATTTCTGAAAAAAGGAAACCGGTAATGAATGGTGATAGTGCAGTCGAATCAGGATGTCGTCCGGAATGGAACGAGAAGAATTTCAGGTCTCGAGATCCATGGGGATTTGTGGCGGTTTCTCGAATTTCTCCGGAGCGTCTCAGGAATAAATGCAGGGGACCGGGGTCAAACTTCATAATTGGAGGGGTATTTGCAAAACACGTCTGCACGTTGAGTGAGTCAGAGTGCGCGACGAGTCTACGCCGACCGGATGTTCGAGTGTTTTCAAACGTGTGTCAGACTTGTCAGCACCCTTCCCATCTCTCCGCTCACTCTCCCGGTCTCAGGAAAATCTCAGAGAGCTCAACATCGAAGATCAATCCGGTTGACGCCTGCATTTTCCTCAGGGGCGGAAAAGAGAAAGTTCGACGACTCAATGTATTGATTCTCAAATTTGAATCGGGCTTATTTAGTACACCATACATCTCGCTTCCCGATTCCCATCTGCTCTCTAACTCATCCGATATGGTAGAGCGACTCCGATAAAGATCAATAGACCCGTCTCGGGTTGCAACGCGACAGAAATCCGATCGCAAAATGATGGTTTCGTAGTGTTTTCGTTGATTCAATCAGTCCCCCGAATCAGTGTCACGATGGATGAGGCTTTTGAACGAGGTGTTTATTTCTGCTCTCCAGGAGGACAACTATAAAGTGAGGATCCTGAGTAACTCACGGTCTCCAGGATGCTAGAAGGCTTGGTAGCCTGGGTACTGAATAATTCTGTGGGAAAATATGTCGAGAATCTCAATACCAGTCAGCTTTCTGTTGGTCTACTAAAAGGTTAGTTCAAAGAGCACTCCGGAATCTCAGGAGAATGTGATCGAGCACTCGGCGTTCCTTTCGCCGACCCTCGTTGAAAATTTCTTCATATCTCCTCGCTAGACAGTTCTGAGAATGTTTTTCCTGCCGACTCCATCGTCTCGACTCAATCGATAATTTTTTTTGGCCGGAAGCGAGCGGCTCGATGAGAATAATATTTGCCGCATCTTCCTCCCGAAACATTGATTCGGGCGAATCTCTTATCCTGTCCTGCTCGTTTTTATTCTGTAATGCGTGATCGTCGCTCGATCTCGCAGCCTTCCGTCTAACCCAGAAGAAGAAATTTCCTCGATGCGGTCGATCGGAATTTTCAATGTGTATGATTAGAGACGTACTAGATGAACGCTGATAGAAGGGTTACTTTACAGGTCAAGTGGAACTCGAAGATCTTCCTCTGAAAAAAGAAGCCTTCAGACAAGTCTTGTTCCCCTTGGAGATCAAGAATGGCTACATCGGAAAGGTATTGTGCTCATTGCCCACCGGAAGTCGATTCCAGAGCTTTCATAGCATTCCATTCCTATCCACTTGGGCTTAACACCGACACTTTTTTCAGGTGCTCATCAACATTCCCGTTACTCGTTTACGCTCAGACCCATGGGTCATAACCATAGAGCGCCTCTACGTCGTTTTAGGGCCGGTTCCTCTCGACCAAGTAAGGAGCCTTCTGATCGGAACTCATGCATGCGAAATTCCGGTATTCTTTCCGCGCCTAGTGAAAAATCTGAGACTGACGAGGGTCAGGAAATGAAGTCCACGATCCCTCGAACATCCGATACTCACCTATGGATTTCTCCTTGCGCAGTACAATGGCGATCTTTACGAAGAGATCGCTCAGAGCGCCAAACTGTCGAAGTTGGACGCTTTCGAAGCGGAATGGAAATCTTCGCGGCTCAGCAGCCAGAACACCTACGGGGATTCGTACACTTCTTGGCTCACGTACGGATCCTCCTTGTTCACCTCAATCGTCAGCAATCTTCAACTCAAGGTTCAAGACGTCCATATCCGCTACGAGGATACGGTGGACGGTCTGGACTTCGCTTGGGGCCTCATGGTGAAAAGCGCGTCAAGCGAGTACGCTCCAGATGACAACAGCAAGGATCAAGTAGGAATCTCTCTACCGACTTCTATTGTTCTTTTCCATGAATGAGCTCCGGGTTGAGCTCCGTTCGTACAGTTCCAGTGGGAAACCCCTCGAATCTCTAATTCCGCTCTCTGTTCCAGAACTCTCAAAGCAAAGGCTATGTCAGCCAGCAGCTCCAGCTGAAAGGCGTATCGCTGTACTGGGACAATGATGCGATGCACATCGGCGACCTGGAGATGGGTCGCATGGCCAACTGCATGGACAATCTGCGAAATTTCTGCGTACGCTCAAACGAGACGTCCTGCGAGCACAAGCTGCTCCTTTCTACACCGGACGGTGCTCAGGTCCTACTGTCGAGGAACCAATCCGAAAGACCCTTGCGTTCGCGGAACGAGCCTCGAATCAAATGCACGCTCCAGGTCTCTACGCTACCGATCCTGATCACGGATGCTCAGTACGGCCAAATGGTTCGCTGTTACCAAAGCATTGACATCAATCACAAGAAATGGAAGTACCAAAAATGGCGGCCAGATGTCCCGGTCAGAGGAAATGCAAAGGCTTGGTGGGTCTTTGCAACGAAAGCCACCACAGAGCAACTGATGAAGAGGAAATCCTGTGCCACGTACGAATATGCTCTGGGCAAAGCTCGTGAGGTCCGGCGCTACGTATCCATTTACAAGCGGTTTTTGACTGATGACAACATAACCAAAGAGGACATCGAGGAGAAGAGCTCCATAGAGCGAGGATATGATTTCGAGACGCTGTTAGCCCTGCGAGAAATCATCATGAAACGAATAGAGGATGAGTGCAATCTTCAGAATAGCAAACAGAACGACTCGGAGAAAAACGGAGATTCGGCGCAGTCGGGTGGTTTTCTTCAGTATTGGTTTCCGGGATGGACGGGGGGATACACCAAATCTGATGAGGGTTCGGAGGGGGCTCCGAGTAGCCAGCTTCAGGGCCACGACAATCGCAGCGACATGTCCGTGTCGACTGAAGCCAGCATGCCGGCCAGTCAGTTTGAAGAGGAGCTGATCGCGGCTCTGAATCGGTTGGACGACGAGCACTATTTCTTGCGAGATGCGACCTTGGCACACGTAACTTTCCACCTGAAAACCTGCACTGTTACCCTGCAGCCAGCAGGGCGAGACTTATGCTGTCTGAAGGTCGAAGACGTCTGGGCGCAGTTGAAGTCGCACCCGAGAGCCCGAAGTTATTCCGTGCACACAAAAGTGGGCTCGCTCCAGTTCACCGACAAGACCCTCCCTACTGTGATTTATCAACACCTCGTCTCGCCCCATACGACGAATCAGGACTCGCAGGTGTACCTGAGATCAGGACAGAAGATCTCCGCTTCTGATCTCTTCAGGCCGCGATCCGCACCGACACCTCCGCCCAGTACGGCTCCCTTGTTCGAGGTGATCTACGAGAAGAATCCGTGGGCTTCGACGGCCGACCATCGACTTGTTGTGAACACGCAATCTCTGGACATCGTTTATAGCCCGAGTTCTTTCAAGAGTATCCGAGAATTCCTGACGCCGGTCGGATCTTATCACGACATGATCGACGATGCGGTGCAGCAACATTTAGAGCATTTGAAGCAGGAGACCAAAACAAATCTACGTTCCAAAGTCGACGCGATGCTCCGAGGAGGACAGGTCATACAGCGTTGGGATTTGAACCTCGACATCTGCGCCCCTCAGATCATAGTTCCTGAAACGTTCACCGATCGAAGTTCGGTCGCAGTTATGTTCGATTTAGGTCGACTGCAATTCCGGAATCAGGCCTCTTTCGACAAAGTGAAAATTGACAAATCGAAGCAGCAGATCGAAGACGACGTCGACGAAGGTACGTTTTGTATGATGAGTTCACTCTCGATAATCCTCGCCTCCTCCGAGTTTCTTCGTCATCTTCGGATGGAATGTCCCCTCTGATCTCTTAATTTCGAATGAATGCCATACAATGCCTATGTAGTACGCTATTATGTTCCCTCAAATGCGGTTCTCCTTCCCGATGTTCACGTTTTCCGGCGTAGGGCCGATAACGAGTCGTACGATCCTTGCAGACGATTTCCGAACACCGTGCTCAACACCACCCGGCGATCTTGATTCGACTGTAGTCTCCGAGCCCAAGTCCCAGAATCGACAGATCACTAGTCCTGGTTTCGAGTCCTGCGCAGTGTCCGAGGCGGACTTCAGGGAGCGGATGTACGATCGTTATACGCTAAATCTTCAGGATATGCAAGTTATGGTGACGACCTCGTCCCGGGAATCCTGGAAGTTCGCTCAGCTTCGCGGCTCGTCGCACCTTCATGTTGTCGATCGTTTCAACATATCGATGCGTTTCGAGCGGCGACTTCTGTCCACGGACGATCCACAGGTAAAAGCTCAATAGATCGATGTCGCATTCCGCACTCCCGAAACATATTCCGCTTTCCATCATCTTAGCCGATGGGAGCATCCTGATCCGTGTACGGAAACTCCGATGTCTTTGCAGTTCCCGTCCGTCATCGTCCAGGCCCAGCTCCCGCGATTGGTGCTCCACATCAGCGAGCAGAAAGTCAGTGCTCTCACCTCCTGTCTTCGACTCCTGGGCCGCGCGGACGGGATGCCTCAAACTTCAGCTCTCTCCGCCCCGGTCCAGAAGCGGGAACCCTTACACAAACCAAGTCAATCAAGTGTCCTGTTTTTCGGGCAGTTCGTCATCGAACAAATGTCCTGTGAAATGCAGAGTCAGGGGAAATGTCTCGCCGAGCTCCAAGTGAACGGTGTACAGGTCACGTCGACGCGCTACCCACATATGCAGTCGTTGAACTTGCAAGTTCAGGGGCTGCTTCTCGTCGACGCGGTCCAAACGCATGGATCGGATTTCGACCTGCTGCTCGCTTCGCATAAACACATCACTATGGACAGCCGTTCAGGTTCGATACGAGACTCGGAGCCCAATTCTCCGATTTCGCCGGCGTCCCCGAAAGGCTACCACTGCATAACGCCGCCGGTGAATCAGAGTCTCGCCCCAGAAAGCGGGGCCGTGAAGCCGAGCATGTTGACGTCCCTCCTATCGAGTCTTCACAGAACTATTTCTCCCGCTGCTTTCGGATCCGCTAGTCTCGATCAGATGCAATTCGTGCCCCGGGGCTCGAGCGCTGTGTCCCCGATCCCGGTTTTCCCGACCGTCGACGGTGAAAATAATAACGACGCTCTCATCAGCATCGAGCTCATGTGGGGAATGCCGGAGAAAGACGAAGATGACAACAGGGAACAGAACGTGATACTCCAAGTCGGTTTTAACAATCTCGACGTCATTGCCAACCAAGAAACGATTGTGGAGTTGGTTTCCTTCGCTCAGTGTATTCACAAGGCATCCCAACCTCCAGAGCTGATAACTCAGCAAACGAGCGCCGCGGACTCCAATGACAGAGGCTTCAAGGTCAGTTGCAGCCTAGAATCGAGGAGGAACCTTTCAATTACTTAGTCTGAATATCCATGATAGGATCCGGATCCTTCCGCAGGCGTCTTCCATCCACGTGACGTTCGACTTCCACCGGCTGAACGTGCTCCTGTTGCGGTCGACGGGAGACAAGTCATCCTGTCTTTCATCGGCAAACCTCAAACTCGCTACCGCTACGCTTTCCGGAGCGAAAATCAGTGCAGTCTTAGAGGACAGCCTCAAACTGAGCGTGGTTCTCGGCGGCCTCCAAGTCTGCGACCTACTTTCTGGTCACGCTCTGCAAAATCGCGTAAACAACAATACGAATCATTACGTTGTGAACGTGGGTCTGAATCCCGATTGCGAGGACCAAGTACCAAGCATAGGGAAGCATTTGTATCATACCAGCGGGGGAAACGAAGAAGAATCCGCGGCGTTAGTGCTTCATATTGTTAGAGAATATCCTGGAACGGTCGATTGGACTTCGACGATCAAGAGGGGGAGTCATAACAGAAGAAAGGTTCGTGGATCCGATGGAACCCCGCCATCGTTTTTTCTTCAGTTTATTCATTCACTGAAAAATTCCATTCACGATATGAGAAAACGCTTCACATGACTCAATCAGCGAAGATAAATAAGGGGCGGAGGTTCTCGCGAAGACCTACAGTTGAAATTCAAGATTCCCAGCTGAAATTTTCGATTTCTAAGCCCTTATCCATTTCACAGCTGAACAACTCTCTCAAAATGGACTTGCACATGGCATCCGTGGTTTATACTCATTCACCGCGGCTCTTGCTGGAGTTGGCAAGCTGCGCAATCGAATTCCGAGCGTACATGACGAAACTCGCGTCTTCGCTGAAGACTGCGGCCGCAGAAGTAGCAAAGGGAATCGTGGGCTCTGAGTTGTCGATTGAGGATGCTCTAGATGTCAGGTTAGGATCTCCTGCTCTCGTCCCATCGTAGAACGAAATTCAATGGATCCCTTTTGATTTCTCAAGCTTCCTCGCTGATGAACTGATGAATTTTTCCAGCCTTTCTGTGATATTGGAAACACCTGTGATAGTACTCCCCTGTGAATTGAGTCGACCGAACGTTCTGGTGGCTCACTTGGGGCGGATGACTGTGAGCTCGACCTCAACGTCGAGCTACCGCGTGGAACTCAAAAATACGTCATTGTACTCACTCGATAGCAATCTGAGTCCGAATTTCGATTGTTCTGTCCATGGTCGCGCGATGCTTCACAACACCCAGATCGACCTTATGATCGAGCAGGTAGTGAAGCCTTCGCAGCGGACGTCCCCAACCGAGCGGCCTGATCCAATCGACGATGTCTGGCAGCTCGAGGGCTGCGTTGTTGGCCCACTCAAGGTGAGTGATTTGTCCCTGGAAATTCCTCGGACTCACCGAAATCATAAGAATCCTCATAGAGTCGGGATACGTTTGAGCATTGAATGGATGCTATTGCTGTGATTCCAGGTCGCTGTGAGCAAAAGTCAGTTCGCCCAATTATTGGATACGTTAAATGAAATAGGAGCTGCCTCCAGCGATGTTACAGTCGATCGAGCTCACCTGATCGGAGAGCAAAACCACAATTCGATCGAAGATTCCGAAGGGAAATTGAAATACGGCGTTCATTTCGCCATACAAGAATTCATTGTCGAGTTCACCGAGGAACCCGGACGGGCATTCGCTAGGGTCGCGTTCCAAGAATTCGACGTCGAAATGATTCGCCACGCGAAGCAGAGTGATGTAAATGTAAGTCATCTCATCAGTTTCCATGCCTCAGCGATTTCGATCATGATCAAGGGCAGGCGGTCATTTTCTGATTAATCTCAAGTCCTACTGAGTGATACACTTTCAATAATTTTCTCTCCGCTCGGTCGATAGATGTCGCTACGTGGGTTAGTGATGGAAGACTTGTACGAAGAAGAAACTTCGAATCACCGGATATTGATCTCCTCGCACACCAAAGAAGAAGCGCGGCCGCTTTCCACAGAGAATTTATCGTCGGTCAGTGGAGTCCCCCTCCGGTACGACTACCTCAGCGCGTCGAATCCCAATCTCGTCTCAGAAGCCGAATGCGATTTCCTCCCCCATGGGAGATTCCGGTGTCGATCGTTGCCGGACATTCTGTGTACGAAGAATATTTTCAAAAAGCTCGACAAGAGATCAATACTCCACGATCGGAAGCACCTTGCCTTCATTAACACCAACTCGGCGGAATCCGAGTGCTTCTGTCCGAAAACCCCTCCTCCTTCCCCAACTCCGTCCATTCCTTCGGACTCTTGTCCCGAAGGAACTCTTGTTGAGATATCCATGGCCACCACGGAGGACTGTGGAAACGGTCGCCAACGCCGGATAACGATCGATCTCAACTCGTTGATGGTCAGCGTCAACGTCAGACCGTGGGTCATGGTGTTGGATTTGTTGTCGAAGCCGGCGTACACTGCGAACAGGAATTCGGTGAGCCTGGACGCAGAACCGACACCTCACGACTTGCTGTCGACAACTCTTGAGTATTCCGTGCAGAACTTCACCTTGCAACTGAACTCCCAGAATTATGAGATCTGCGAAGCACAAGTTAGGCAGCTCTGGTTCCGATCTAGTATGTCACCGACCAGTACCGACGTATCCGGACGCCTGGGAAAGGTCCTGGTGCACGATCTGACACCGTTCGGCAGCCAGGTACGTTACTTCGGACGAATCGAAGACTCGAAATTCTCTCCGGCCTCAGAATCGTTCAAGTTCCCGATACGAAATGGTTAAGTGTTTGATAGCTTCCTTTCTTCTTTCCTTCAGGTCTATCAAGAGCGATTCGTGACTTCGGGCAACGAGGCCCTCCATTTCAAATTCACCAGGAGCAAGGATGAGAGCGATCGTTATCAACTCGAGAGTACCATGACCTCGGTACTCGTCGTGTATACTCATCTATTCATGTCGGAGATCGTGAACTTCATATCGGAGTTCTCCCAAGTTCAGGAACTACTCGCGAGGATGCAAAACCAGTTCGTACCTCAGCCCCGCCAGAAGGCGAAGGTCGATCTCCGTATAAAAGCGGGGTCTCCGCTAATAGTTGTTCCCCGGAACTCGCATCATCAAGATGCGCTGGTGCTGAATCTCGGGAGCGTGGATATCTCCACGCAATTCGTGCAGACCGAGTGTTTGAACCAGGTCATGGAATTGAGTTTGTCGGAGATGGATTTGTATTGCGGGATTTACGAGAGAGACGTCACTCGGAGGAAATCCTCGCTCGATGCCAATTGCCCCTTCAACATTCAAAAGAAGGGTTTCCCACTCCTCGACGAGAAGTTTGAAATGCGGCTCAGAGTCTTCAGGAACCTCGATTCTGAGATCAGTCACATCGGTGAGTAGACTGTGGCGTCACCGGAGACGATTCAATTCCGACGACGGAATTTCGGGACCGTGTCCCGGGTTTTCACCTCACCTCCGACTAAATTCTCGGATTTCACAGAACCGGACTGGACGGCGCGAGGAGATGTGTCTCGGGCTAACATAACGCTCGACAAAAGCCAATACGAGCTCATATCGGGAATACTCTTCGAAAACCTGAGTGAAGGCGTTCATCTCCAAACCTCGACCCCGGCTCCCGTTGTAGCCCCAGCACCCGACGACGACGCATGGGTAAATCTTCTCCTGGCGATCGACCTGCACAACGTCACCCTGAACCTGGTCGCCAGTCGCAACACCCAATCCGACCTCGCCAAAGTGGAATTCATCGATTCGAAACTCTCGGTGTCGACGTACACCAACGGCCGCAAAGATGTCGATTTGGTCTCCCAAGAAATTCGGGTCCGCGACACCCGTTTCTCGAGTAAGTTCCTGACAGTCCCGTGCCAATGGTCGACAAGAACGGGAACGATCCTGCCGGAAATTCACAAGCTAATTATGACGTTATTACAGATCCGGATGGACGCACGAACGTATTCAGTGACATGCTGCTGCCGACGCGCGGCAGAGAAGGACGCGGACTTCAAATGGAACTTCACTACCGAACATTCCCGAATAGGTTGACGCTTCTTCTGAACAACATGAGGTTGATGGCCATCTTCGATTGGTTCAAACAGACAGCCCAGTTCCTGACCTTGCCGCAGCCCGCGGAAAATCACAGATCCGACGTCAAGGTGCCGGGTTACCGGGACGATACCCACCTTCAGCCAAACGAACCGATGCAATTACAGTTGAAGCTCAGCATGACCGACACCGAGGTGGTCGTCGTCGAAGACGCGTCGACGTACGACACTAACGCCGTTATCTTGAAGTCAACCGCTGTACTCACGTGGCACGGCTCCTCGGACCTGAAAAGACCGCTGATATGCGACTTACAGAACCTGGAAGTTTTCTCTTGTGTTCTGGGCACTGAAGACAAAACAGCTCTGTCGATCATCGATCCAGCTTCGATTTCGTTCGAAATGAATTCAAAGCATGGCGACGCGTACGAGCTCGAAGCCAGTTCCCATCTACTGTGTATACGTCTCTCGTACAACGACATGACGATGTTCAGAAAAATTCTCGAATGTCTCCCGAGTCAAGCTGTGGGGGACACGACGGAATTCGAGAGGAACGTCTCGAAATTGAAAGAACTCGGTTTCTCTCACAACGACTGCGTACTCGCGTTGAGGAACTGCAGGAGTCAAATCGATGAGGCGGCGCTCTGGTTGCTGCAGAACGCAGAGCCTATCAAGGCAACAAAATCGAACCGATGGACCATCTGGAACCTACCGGTCGGCATGGGCAAGATCCGGTTGCAAGAGTTCAGAGTTTGCTTTATCGATGACTGCGGCAATGCGGACGTTCCGCTGTTTGAACTCCGGCTGCAGGACACGGATGCACAATTGAGGCTCGACGAGAAAAATTGGCAGATAAATTCGGCCTTGCGCATCGATTACTATAACCGGATCCTTTCGGGCTGGGAGCCACTCGTCGAACCGGTTCGGATTGAGGCCAAGTGGCGTCTAACGTCGAGATACGTCCTCGAGCTGGAGATGGATGGCAACCTGAATATCAACATCACCTCTTCACTGATCGACATAGCTCAGCGCGTACGGGACTCCTGGCAAGACGACCGTGAGACGCTCGATAAGCCCGACAAGCCATTGAAAGCTCTGAGCGCGGTAAAACGTGCTCCTTTCGTCCCCTTCGCGTTAAAGAACTCGCTGGGTTGCGCGATAGAGTTTGCTACGGTGACTACGATGGCTGGCAACCGTGAACCGAGGGCCCAGAATAAATTATTCCATAGAGTGAGTATCGGAGTTTCGTCGCAATGAGGGCTCAGAACCATGGGATCCTCGAGGGGCAAAAAGTGCAAGCATCCGAATGTTGTCAAAATTGGACAGATGTGGGCGGGAAGCGTCACGAGTCTCACTCTTGCGTTCCAGGTCGAAGCGGGAGAAACGGTGCCTTTCTCCTTTGCCTCTCAAGCCAAACTGCGACATCAGGAATCGCATCAATGGCTAGTTCGTCAGATTGTGGTGCGAGTTGAGGGTTGCGAGGAAATGGAGCCCGTTTCAGTGGATAGGGTCGGTGAATACTTTCGGCTTGTCCGCCCGGTCAACTCGACGGTTTCCGCGATCGGAAGGATAGTTTTCCACATCGAGCTGGAAGGACCTGCACTGAAAATGATCAATGTGAGAAGCGCTTTCGTGGTGAAGAATTTCACTTCGGATAAAGTCAACGTCAACATCACCACCGCCACCCTTGTCGGCGCCCCACAATCCGGTAAATTCACATTCAACCTGATTCCGATTACTGATTTCCGATTCGGTACCCAGGAATGTTTTTATTTGAATCGTTGCCGCCTGGAGGTTTCAAGAAGAAAAAACTCCTTCCAGCCCAAAACTCGAAGCTCGTGATAGAGAGCTCCTCGAATCAGTCGTTGCCGTTCGCCTTCGATTACACCTCGATAAAAGTTCGTCCCGAAAATTTGGAGAAGCTGCTCGCGGCAGAGCTCGGTTGGAAAGGTGCAACATCCTATAACCCGACGTTCGTTCTCCGCGGTGAATGTCGACCGCTCAAAGCAGGGGTCCAGCCCTACAACTTTGCAGTCACCGTCCGCCGCGAGCCGTTCCCGAACGTTTTATTCACGCCGAGCGAGAAACATGCTCCGTCCCATACAATCTTGCTCAACGCTCCCGTGAAGCTCTACAATCTGTTACCGATGGAGCTCCACTACGAAATCGAAGAGCCGGTGAAAATCAGCGGAGTTGTGAAGAACAGGCATTCGACAACCTTCCATCAAATCTCGACCGAGCTCCGAGTCGTCATCGGCTTCCAACTCGACGGATACACCTGCGGGAACAAATTGATTCTGGACCCCGGAGCGACTTCAGGACCGTACAGCATAGTGCTCAAGGACGCTGAGCACAGATCCCTCATGCTGAGGGCGAATGTCGAAGTCAGTCTTGCTGGTGCTTACAAGGCGAGTTCGAAATACTAGGTCAAATAATAATAATAATAATAATGATGATGAGGTCACATCGTCGCCGGGAATGGAATCGAATTAACGCATGGGAACGATATGAATGATCGCCGAAGCTCTCGGATGATCCACGATCCTAACCAAGTCATTTCCCTCGGCAGATCTACGTCTGTGCTCAATACTGGCTGATCAATCACACGGGTCTTCCATTGATCTTCAAACAAGATGGCGTTAACTATGAGGCGGCCGGTCAACCTCCGGAGCACGAGGCGGCACGCTCGGTCGTCCCTCTCTTGTTCTCCTTCTGCGACAGCGAAGCTCCCCAATCGTGCTGCATGAGACTCGGGAACCGATTTCAACTAGGACAGTCATTCCAACCCAAATGGAGTTATCCCTTCCCGCTGGACAGCGGTGTCGGTATCTGTAAGCTGTTCCTGTCATCGACCAACAACAGCCCCGACCGCGTCTACAACATCGGAATCTACGGCAAACAGGGGAAAGGGGTCTTCAAGGACACTCACTTCATAGTTTTCAGTCCACTTTTCCAATTAGTGAACAACACGTCGAAAATTCTCGAATTCGCTCAGAAATTCGCCGCCGTCAGAAAGCAGGACCGGCATATAACTTCCGCCATGCCGAGGAGCTCGGTTGCTTTCCATTGGCCGAGGGTCGACCTCGATCCCCTGCTGTGCATACGTACTGACAACTCTATCTGGTCAGGCGGTTTCCACATCGACAAGCCGACGAGCTCAACCCACATCCACATCCGGACTGAAACCATGCAGAGCACGGAGAGCCTGTTCATTCTGGTCGAGGTCAGACAACACTATGGCACGTTCATTGTCACGTTCACTCAACCCGAGTCCGTGCCGCCCCCGATGCGGATCGACAATTTCTCCGAGGTGCCGATCAGGTTCAATCAGATCGGAGTTGAAGACGAGAAGCGACGTTACACGGTCAAAGCCGGATCGTCAATGCCGTATGCTTGGGACGAACCGACGGAAACGCCACGAATATCTGTAGCGGCTCCCGACGGAGTCTGCGAGACATACGACATGCGAACTTTCAAAGAGGGCGAGCCATTGTGCTACGAGAATTTCTTCTACATCGCGTTCTCTGGAACCTTCCTGGAGCCGAAGCCGGCGGTGCCGCAGAAATCCGCACGGAATGTGAAATCGGAAGAATTGGTCCTCGACGTCTTGCCGGAAAACCGGATCGTCATAAACCGGAAAGATGTCGGTTCGCGAAATCAGCTCTGGCGTATGACGGCCGAGCAAATGCTCCAACACGAGGGCAGCAGTACCCCCCTCGCTCCGGGTCAACCATCCTCGTCGCACAACCAAAGCGGGGGACGTGTATTCGTCCTCGACATCGACGCCCCGGCAGCAGACCCCCACCGATGTGTGTCGTTGATTCTGCGTAAACCAGATCCGCGCAGACGGAGTCTGCAGACGTGGACGTTCACCACCGAGGGTTTTCTGAAGTGTGATATCGGAAATCTCTTCGTCCAAGCCAAGAACGGTTTGAAAGGGCTGAGGAAGGGAGGCGAAGCTGTTCTAGGACCATTGAACTATTACGAATGCACAGAGTACCTCCCCCACACGATCCGGACTCCCTGCCCCATTCCGCTCCATTGTGCGGTGGAGACGAAAAAGATGAGAGGAGGATGTGGAATTTTGAAAGTCGCCGTCTGCATCGACGGTCCAACGATCGTTCTCCGGATCACCGATTTCGCCAACGACCAAGTGCTGCCTGTTTACAAGAGCCGCGCGAACGCCCTCGCCTTCAGGAACGAAACCGATCATGGGTCGAGGACTTCGAGCTCGCCCGATATCGAAGTCAATGTAAACTTCAAGCAGGGCGTCGGAATATCTTTCATCAACGAATCGGAAGAAATACTCCTCGTGTCGCTGCAGAACGTCCTGCTGTCCTTTTTCCAGGACGAGAGCTTGCAGAAGTTCGACATGTCCGTACGACATCTTCAGGTTGACAACATGCTGCCCGACGCCGAAAGACCTTGCGCATTGTACGTCACGCCGGAAAGCAGCAGGGATGAGTATTCACATCTTCCGGCAGCGAGCATAAAAGCGTCCCGGCTCCTCAATTATAACACCGACGTCTTCGTATTCGACGTGAGTTTACCGAATATCTACGGAATTTGTGAAAATGCCTTTGAATGATTGCGATTGGACGATACAGCAGTGTAGAAGTCGACCGTTCCGCGAACGCGTCTAGTCGGCGAATTACCTCGAACTATTGAGGACCATGGTGGTTCGATTTTTCCAGTATTTCATGATGAGCATCAAGGACACCACCCTGGCCTTGGAAGAGAAACTCATGCTCAAAATGTTCCAAATGTTCCGAGATTACATCCCATTCCTCAATGAGCCGGAGGATCTCCATCTCATCGAGCAGCGCAGCATGGCCGTAGACGCTCTCAGGGAGAGCGGTCGGAAGTTTTACTTCAAGAACTTGAGAATTAATCCCCATAACTGCAAACTCAGCGTTCTACCAGCGAGATCAGGATCCCTGGATGAAGGACTCCGGCAGATCAAGAAACAGGTCGGCTGGAGTCTGATAAGATTCGAGGATGCGGGTGTTCACCTGAACGCTTTCGAGAAAAATCATCCGTTCGAAACGCTGTCATTCCTCATGGGAACAGCTTCGGCTTTCTACAGCAAGGTAGCTAAGCAAATAGCATAAGTCCATCACTACAGAATTCACTTCATAAGTCATCACGTTGCTGCTCGATTCTCATTGAGCATCTTCGAATCGAAACTCACCGTTTTTGATTTCTCCCCTCAAAGGAGCTTCAAAAACAAGCTCGATACATCATGGGCAACGTGGACTTCTTTGGGAGTCCGCTCGGATTCCTCCGGGACGTGAAGGGAAGTTTCAAGGAAGCCATCAGCGGCAGAAACCCTTGGACTTTGGTCAAGGGCCTGACCTACGGCGCGTCCAATTCGGCGGCGAAACTGACGGGCAGCCTGTCCGACACATTGAAAAATCTGGCAAGCACCGAATCGAGCAACGCTCTTGTCGTCGCGCAGCCGAATCTCGGACCTGGCGAGAATCAAATCCTTGGAGGTTTGAGGGGTCTCGGCCGGGGTCTCCGCGACGGCTTCGGAGGCCTGTATCAACACCCCTATGAGGTGAGTTCTATGAAAACTCTCAGACGATCTAGAAATCATGGTAATCTGGACCTCAGGTTCGAAAATGCGCCAAGGACCTACCAAGTTGGCTGGAACCTCGAACGTCTTCCAGGGTCTGACCAACGGACTGCAAGGGTTCATGGAAGGTGTTGGCCGCGGTCTAGTGGGGTCCGGCGTCCTACCCATTGCTGGGGTGCTGGATTTCGCTACGGGCGTCGCGGCAACTGTCAGAGACAGCTCCAATATCCGGGAGCGTCCCTCACGGCATCGACCCATTCGTCTGACGAGAGGACCCCGAGGTCTTCTGCCTTGTTATTCGGCGTCGGTCGCATCGGGTCAGATGTACCTCATGGAAATCCTCGCCGCGAACGCCAGCAATCCGACGGATAGAGGAGCTTTCAACGAATTGTAAGCATCAATGAATGGGTGATCTTGAGTCGATGGAGGAACAATTGGAAGTAGCCGGTCGATAGTAGGAATAAGACGCAGGATCCATCATGAGTGTTGTTCTACTCAACAGCTTCCTGACGATGCACCCGCTCGAGAACGGTGGCCAGCTCATCGTTTCCAACAAAAGGATTCTGAGAGTGTCGTCGAAGAAGATCATGCTGGACGTGATCCATCTCTGTGAGTTACAGAGCGCGCATCTTCTGGTGACATTGGGCTCTTCCTCGTTGATGCTCACGCTGACGGGCCAGCAACACAAACGCATGGACTGCGGCGATTCGGATGATGCGACGGTTTCGGCTTTACGTGAGGTCGTTCAGTGTATAAACTACGCTGTTTTCACTTTCGAAGAGGAACGCTATCGACTGCCGACCAGGGACGAGGACGAATCGACCGAACTAGATGTGCGAGATTCGCACCAAATGAGAGCTCACGAGTGAATTCGGCCATTCGGGGATTTCGCTTCCGAATTTGTACGGGAGCGGATGGGATCAAGCTTCCTCCGAAGAGATGGGAACGTGTTGCTTTACTGTTAGATTCTGTTGAGATACTAGTCCATGATGAGTCCATTGTTGAATTGTTGCTGGGATTGATGAAGCGCGTACGGAACCAACCAGCCGACGTACTTACTGATAGGTGCGTCAGCCGATTCGATCCGATTCGGGTTACGCGTAAGCGCACAGTGTTAGCTATGCACAATTTGAGAGAGGTGTTTGAAATGAGATGAGGAGACTGCAAGGATCGGATTCGATCGAAATTCCGGTTGTGCGGAACATATATTTTAGTTCTCCACGGAGTCGAATCCGCATGAATAGAACAACATTGATGAGGATCGTTCTGTGAGGAGTGAGTTGTAAAAATAAATGATGGATTGATGTCCGTGCACCACCTCCGTCCGATCCATGATCTCGATTTCTCCGCTTGAAATTCGTTCCTCGGTATACCACTGTTATCTCTTGTGGAGCGTGCGTCCAAGCCAGTGGGCTCCAGCAACGACGCTATTCCCTTCAGGGGTCAGCAGGCTCGCGACAAAGACGTCGACGAAACAGGACGAATTCGCGAAAGGTATTAGATACCAACAGAAAATCATCGGAGATTCCCGATCCGCTTCCATCATAATCTCGAGCGCTGACCTTTCCGGATAAAGGATAAGTTGCCGGTCAAGCTGCGTGCCACCACCCACTGGGTTTGCATCGGGATCGGGGACGGCTGATGGATACGGCTGCTTGAATAGGAACAAGCCGCTGACCGAGAGGAAGTCCGCGTCGTTGGAAGCTCCAATCACCCTTGGTGGCACGAGTTCATGTACCTGTACCGCGAATTTCCCTCCATTATCGAACGACGGAGAAACATTTCTCATGGGCTCTCACGCGTGCTGGTGGAGGAACTCTGGGAGAGCGCGCTGAGGAAGCTCATTCAGGGAAGACGAGTCGCTGGATGCATTTTCGGGGCGCACGGGGATCTTTGTGATTAGGTAACTCTAACGACTTCGGAGCCTGATTCTATTAGGTTGTTCCCGCTCACCGTCGTGAGGCTCTGCGTCAAGAACCATGCATGCAGGTCCGGCCGAAGCCTGTACTTACCAAGAGAAATTACCGATTACTATTCGAAAATTATTATGATGATGATAATCATGTTTTTGATAAAGATAATTATTATGATAATTATAAACATCCCTTCGATAAAGATAGGTATATATTATTATAATTATAATCATTCTTCCAGTATAGACACGTAATTATTATGATGATGATTATTGTGATGATGATAATTATTGCGATACTGATAATTATTTTTATAATGATAATTATTATTATCCGAGGACGATTTCCGATACGGTCAAAGTCGAAAGTTAAGTCCAAGACGAAGAGGCGGGCTCCAGGTGATCTGGATTCTCGCGGTCGTCATTGGAGGAAGCTGAGAGCGTCTGGTTGAGCGATTGAGAAGACTAGGTTCTTGCCTTCCATTTCCTTTCTCCGCTGATCAGAATGCTGAGAACGAGCTAAGCGCGAGCATCATAATTCAGAGTCACAGAACCGTTGGAAGGAATATCCCTCCGGGGCGCTCAGCGGAGTATTCCCCTGTGGGATGCTGCGGCGCTTATAAATATTGAAGCTCATCATTTACTACTACATATGGATCGTGAACAGGATTCACGCAGTCTGCCTCAGTTCATGACGCCGAAGGTCGCAGGCGGTGTTCGTTAGACAAATGTCATATTGAGGTCATCTGGAAACTCCCGGCTTCGGTGCTTCTGGCATTGACATTGGTTCCCGAAGGCGTGCTTCCCTCTGACCGGCCGAACCAGCCCTCGGTCAAATCCAGACACTCGAGCCGGGGAATATCCACGCTATTTCCGATCGGCCGGGAAGCTTCGCTCGGCTCAAGATCTATCGCGCTTCGTTAGACCAGGAAACTCCGTCGGCGACGGATTCAACACTGAATAATCAGGCGGAATCTTCCGCTTGTCGTTAGTGTGATACATTTTCTCCGAGTGAGAAATCCCTCGAGCATCGTTCGCGGCTGTCCTAGGCTTCCCTGTCGGCACCGATTAGTTTTCCTCCTTGTAGAAAGGTCGAAGCAAACCATCGACACTGGCTACGGACGGGAGAGCGACCACATCAAATTCTCATTTATAAGAGATCGAGAACGCTTTCGTTTCCGTTGGCAAAACACTCTTTCTGTTTTTATTCAATCCGATATCGAGTTCTCGTTCAACACACTTGTGAAATTCTCTAATCGTACCGACGTTCGCATCTCAGGGTAAATCTGTGAGATGGTTCAAACTTCCTGTACGGTAGGCCAAGCTGGGTCACAGCAAGTCGCCCAGGATAGTCTTCCAACACTATTTTTGTATTTGTCAAATTTACACCGCTGAAACCCGCGATCCTTGTTCCGAAAGCAGAACACGACAATGGCATCACGCTATGTAGGTGAATGTATGATCTTAAATAAATATGTAGACAGAGTGTGATTTCCACACCCTGGGACACTCATGGGCAGAACTCATCAGGACCTCCTCAAGCTGGCTCTGTGAATCCAACTCACGTCACGCAGGAGAGGGGGCGGTCCTTGGTGATGATGAAGGAGCTGTATCATCGCGCTCACCGATCATTACCGAGCGGTCTCCCGAGCGATATCTCGCGAGGATCCCATGCGAAATTCATGAGAAACGCTGGCTCCGGTCGGATCCTCAGAGAAGTGAAATCTCAACATCTGTAGGAAAAGTTTCTCAACAACAATGAAATCCCCATTACCACGTGGGTTTCCATACAGGATTCTGTACAGAGCAGTACACACAGTTCGAAAGAAAGCGGATCGGGAGTTGGACACGCTGTCCAAGATGCGTGACCGGAGACATCTTGTTACAAGTGCTGATACGAAAACAGTGGTAGGTTTTCGCTTCCCTCCTTTTGTGCTGAGCTCGTGGCTCGAAGATCAGCTCTACAAAACGTACCTTCTGGTTACTCGTATCCAGAACAATCGAAGTAGATATTGCATTTTTTGGACAATGTTGTCGATACACAAAATGGCGAATTTTTTTCAGCTACTCTTCTCGCTGATTTTTTCATCACTAGCAGCAGGCAACTTTGGAACACTCTTGAAAACTGCATTGGTGACGCTCGTCTTCGTCGTCATCGTCAGGATCGCTCTCCATGTCGTCAGCTTCAGGCTCCTGCGCCCCATGCGCTCGCAGGATCGAGTCCATAAGGTCGAGTTCTTCGCAAGCTTGGATCGGTCGCTGCTGGAGAACCCGGGCGAGAGCCGTCCGCCCGCTGTAGTCGGTCCCATCGACTGCGGCTCCGTATTCGAGCAGCAAGCGCAGCATGTCTGGTCTGCGGAGATCTGCAGCGAGATGGAGAGCTGTGCGACCCTCGAGAAGTTCGCGAGTGTCGAAATCAATGGCAAGATTCAAAAGCTCCTGGAGCACTTGGCGATTTCCTGACGTGATCGCCAGATGCATGGGAGTCATCCCACGCGAACACAACGACGATATCTCAGCGAGTTTTGTGCGTGGCGCCGACGGGCTTACACCTGCAAGGAGGAAAAATGTCAAGTCAGGCCTCTAATCCGGACTTCCTCTTGATTGTTTTCCCGAAGAGGACAATCAAAGCATCCCGGGGAAAAGCCGAATCTTTTGTATCCGCATGGGAAGGAAGCGCGGGCCGAATCGGTGTACCATGCAGTCGATCTCCGTTTGAAACTGAACGTTCCATCGGTCGGGGCACTCTGAGCGGGTACATCGCTTTGGATAAGAAGATACGCTTCCAGAATCGTTTGATCTGCATCAAAGGATCCTTGAACCCTGTCGGTGGCGTGGTTCGAATGCTCTGTCGAGGCGCGCGTCGAACCGCTACGACAACGTTGAAGGTGTTTCCCATGACGTGAGGGCTGGCGCAACTTCCTCACCTCTAGTCAGGCGCTGTCAGTGTGAAATTATGTTCCGCTAATTTCCGAGAATGCCTTCGAACAAGGATGGCGCTGTCCCAGAGAGGAATTCACGATCGACCGGAGAAGAATTCGGAGGGAAAGAGAGGCCGGAATTGATACATTCGGAATTTTCGCAGCCCATTCGAGAAATCCGGTAGATGCTTCTGATCTTCATTACCGAGAGGGGATTTTCCAAGATTGCCGGCGGGAGGAACGCGCGCAGCTAATGACCGTGGAAGCCGAGAGACCTACGAACCACCGGAATCAGTTCCTTCTTTGTGTATTTCTCCGGCTGCAGAGATAGCTATGAGACCAGAGGGGGAAAACAGTGCTACAAGAATGATTCGACCGCGGACGATTCGAGATAACGCTCGCTCCAGCGCACATAGCGGGGAAATACTTCGATCGCCGAAACTGAATGAAGAGGCCAGAATCAGGCGAAAAGTTCCAGGAATCTATTCTGCCGGGGCAGCGGAGAAAACGTGGGGAACTCACCGTATAGCGTCAATCCTAAGTCGGATACTTCTTCTGTAGTTATGGGATCTACGAGAGCTTTGAGGAGCATCAGATTGCCTTTCCCGGAAGCGATGTGTAGAGGCGTGTAGAGCATCGAGTCCGCCCGATTCGCGATCGCTCCGGCGCACACGAGCATTCGCGCACATGTGACATCCTCGTGCTCGCAAGCTACATGCAGAGCGGTCTGGAACAAAGAAAATTCAGGACTTAGGAGTGAATCACCCTTGCGAGCTATGCGTCGTCGGCTCACGGATCCGGTGGCGTCATGCCTCCCACTCACGCAGGCGGTCGTGTGGAATTCCCGAGCACCGACGATCGCGCCGAATTCTATTCCGACTCAGAACCGAGGTGAGCTTTCCGGGAAAGAGAATGGCCACTACAGCGGATCCTATCGTTAGCCCGCAGGCATTTTCTCGTTCCGAAGTCGGATCCATGGCGGTCGATCCCGAAAAAATTGTCGTATCGACGGAAAAGTCCGTCATACTTCGCCCTCGATCATTCATTTCGATCCTTTCGAAGAATCCCGAAAATGGCTCACGGAGTCGTTGACAACATGTCGGCTATTGAAACGGCTATTGCTTCCGAATCGCGATGGATGAGGGGAAATTCATGAGCACGTGACGTAATCGTTTTAATCGTACCCGTCGGATTCGATCACAGAAGAAATCGGACGAAGAACGATCCCGTTACATTCGTGTGAAGAGCCGGCGCCGGCAAGAGTTTCTTGAGAAACCGGGTATTCCACCTGACGTATGCAATGAGCCGCCGAGAGCCCGAGCTTCCTCGGGGATTTCCGAAAATTTCGCGGCACTAAGTCAGCAGCCCTTTGCGACGTGATATTCCGGTGAGAGCCTTTTCAAACTCTTCCTTGCTTGGACTCGTTTCACGCGTCAAGGGTTGAGTTCAGAGATGGACCCCTGTGGGTCTGGGAGGGGAAGACGATTGTGATTTCCTCTCAGTCAGCTCCCGAGACATCCGTTTTCGGATTAAGAAGCGCAAAACAGATTTTCTGGAATGACGTCTAGGACAAGAACAGCAGAAGTGCTTGCGCAACATCCCCAACGACTCACGATGGAACACAGAGAGATTAATTTCTCTTCTAGGCAGCTGCCATCACAGAAAAACTACTGCTAATTTCGTAATCGATGCGCGCACGCATGTTTTGAAAGCACCACTCCCTAGGGCAGCCGCGACGCTGAGAACAAACGTAACCGACTGAGCTCCATTCGGGGGTACCGCATGGGGTGAGTTTTTCGTCTCGTCTAGGCTTTGGGAAAATCTCACCTGTCCCCAGTCGTTGGTGATTTCGAGGAGATCTGGATGCGGCGTAGCCCTCAGGTATTCCAGAAGAACGCCGGGAAGCTGTTTCCGGTTTTCGTGATCGACCGTCGCCAATCGGATATGGAGTTGAGTATCTCCATTATCGTCCTGCTTGTAAATTTCCTTCCAAGCTTCCGAGCTCTGGGAGCGACTGTAGTCCAAATTGATTCCGGAGTCACCACTGGGCTGCAAATAAAAATTTTCGATGTCACGTTGTTGTCACGCTCTGATTCAGAACAATCGGCTGTCGGATCGGATGCCGCCTGTCCTAGGCAAAACCCGCAGGCAGCGGCCTTCCGTAGTCTTGCAGACGAGGTCATTGTGCTGAAGCAACAGCGGTCGTGGTAATGTTCTTTCGTTAGCGGCATGGAGCCGAAGTCATCCCGGAGGTAAATCCGTCGACGACATGAGTGGGATGCGTTGATAGCAAAACACGGAATTTCCCTGACTTCTCTTGACGGCCACGGCGACCTCAGCTGTATTGTCCATACGAGGAATTCAGTGCCACGTGATCGCCGTACATGGAGTTCAGGATTTTCTCTCTTGTAGAAGCGGAACGACTCGTGAGTGCAATACAACTTAAATGAACGACATTCGCGTGAGAACTCGACGCAGAATCAGCGCCGCCCACCCGTTCGCGAAGCTAAGCGCTTTTTGCGAAGGGAGCTCGTTCCATGGAATGGGATGGAATTGTACACTACTCGATGGAGACATTTAATGTCGCGGAGCCGTTGGGCGAAGGCTCGTAGCCTCCAGTCCCTCCGTAACATCGCGGGACTCGGAACTCTTCTCGTTCCGACTCAAGCGAACGAACCGCGGACCGAGCAGACCCCTACGTCAGTGCATGTGAACGCCTGTATCTCTCTCCTTCTGAAGGGGCTTTGTTCGTCTTGAATCCCGGCTCATCATCTAACGACTCGGAACTTCTTCTTCGGGTCGGGCGCTACGCGCCGTTACGACCCGTTGAGGTGGCCAAGCGTTGGAGCACCGAAAACCGGCGACACGTGAGGTCAAGTGGACTGCGTTCGCTCCCCTGACGAGTCAAATACCAAACACGATAGTTCGGGGAGATATTCAGGGTTGGAGCAGCGGAATGTTGAGCGATCGAGGGGAATATCCCATCACTATCCCGTACTGATCAAGCGAGCCGGTTGGTCTCGAAAACGCGCTCCATTCATGCTGAGCTTGAATGACGGACCTCGTCGTTCCCGGCTGGCTCGCGAGAGACTCGGTCGAATCCACGAGGGGGCGGAGTGCTTCCGAAACATTAGAAACTGTCGTCCGTCGGAATCCTGAGCTCTTGAAAGTCGTAAGTGGACGTCTCGCCAGGGAGACTCATTTTGGGAAACCCAAGTCTGGACACTGCCTGAGTGGAAACAACCGAAGATCCTTACATTTCTCTTCAATTTCAACTTCTCGTGCACTATCCAACTGTAGGTTCTATCCTGCCAGGGACTCGATATCACTGCGAACTTCCCGCAACAGGTTGACTGAGCACTGCAGTTGTAGAGATGCATAGTGTGTTTTATATGAGACCGCTTGCGGACACGAACACAGGAACACACGGACAAGATATTATCTTGGAGGATTGACTAGAGTCTTGGCAGCTCACTCAGCTGCCAACGGGATCAGGACAGAGATGGGGAATAGTAGGAACTTTAGATTATCGACCGCAACATTTGGATGGTCGGCGTCGGCTGCCTTATGCTCAAGTGCTCATCGCAGCAGCGTCGTGGCGATCGAAGCCGCTTGCCGGGTAATTCCCGCAAGGGATGGCTCGTACCCTCTCCCGGGTCCTCTCCGAATGTCCTCCTCGCTTTCTAGTTCCGCACAAGGGATTCCCCGTCGATGTTCAACGACGTATCCTGCCTATCTTGTCCACGCGCTGGATTAAAGCATCGACCACGAGCACTCCTTCCGAATCGAGTACTCGACCCAAGAAATGATGATGTCGAACTTTTCACCAGAGGAATTTCTCGCTTCGGAGCGCGCGTTTCCCTCGGCTCACCCCCTGGTTCCTCACACTTACGCGGAATTATCCAGGGCGGCTTACCGATCCAGATTACGAATCTCACGAATGCGGTAGGCAATTACTGCGACACGGAGTGCACCACCCGATATCTCGCAGTTTTCGGGCGACGTCGACGTTCCGTCTGCGAGTGACCCTCGGAGAATCCAGAAACCGGTCCGACCTTTGAAAGCTTGATCGCTACGTGACCGCTATGAGTTTTCGATTTTATTTCGATGAGCAGTGCCGCGCCAAGGAAAAAAACGTCATCGGCTGCTCCGATGTGAGAAGGAGCAGAAGCGTCAGCGCCTCCTCGCCGTAACCTCAAAGCTCTCCATTCGATACCGCGGTCCAAGGAGACTACTCTGAATGAATCTGATTCTGAGAACTCCCCGGCTCGGAGCGGCTCCTTCTACTCGAGGGACCGAATTTCCGAGCGTGAGACTGATCTACCCTCTGCGGCAGCGTAATTTACGCGCTATCCGCTAACGTATGCGGAACGATATGCTGGCTTGCAGAGCCTGGGGAGAGCGCGTTGACCTAGAGGTCAATCACCATAGAAAAAGAACGCTCGGGGAAATCCTTAGAGCTGCGACACGGTCAGCTCAGCCGTTGTTTTTCAGCCGCGATTCGTCAACGTTCGCCTATGGTACTGTCGGCGACGTCGGACTCATTCTTACCTCGGCAGCTTGTGGTGCAGCTATCGAAAGTGCTGACGACGCCACATCGGAGCTGCTCTGCAACTCAGACAAGTACCCTGAGTCCGGAGCCTCTTGTTGATCCTGCAGCTGAAACAAGACGGTGAACATTAGACGATGAACATCGAGGAAAGGAAGACGATTTCTAGTTCCCACCGTGAGGAGAATAGGTGACTTAGGGAATTCCTCGGGTATTAACGGGATGACGCTGCTCTAACAATTTACCGCTCTTCTGGGAATAACATCTGACATGAACACTTAGCGAGGCTCAAGTAAACACAACCCGAGCGCTGATAGGAAAATCTTCCGTTCAACTTCGACGCCTCCGCCAGCCATTCGACGCTTGCCACTTCAACGCTCGATCGTAGCTTCGACCGACTAGAACCAGTCAATGGGATTGACAGTCCAGGGGAAATCACCGGAGTTTCCCGTGATTGGGATTCTACCAGAGGTTATCTAGGTCATGAGACGAGAACGTGCCCGCAACGGGACTCGACTCACGATGACAGAAAATTTGGTGGTTCCAGGTTATGGTACGAATGATTGCGACACACCACAAATCGGTGATTTCTGATAGATCCGCCTACCGAAATCTCCCCGAATTCGATGGAAATAGAACTCAGGAATGTTCTTTCCAGCTGAAGGGATTTTCTTGTCCCTCCTGAATTTGGGGACACGAGGAAAATGGTACGGATACCGCCTCAGAGTTCTCCATGAACTGCTCCATCGCAGGGATGTCCCCATATTATAGGCCAGAGGTCTCTCATCTCCTCCCGTGAATTCCGGACTCCCCGAGGGTGGCTCCAGTTTCTGGTCGGGAACCGCTTTCGAATATCATGTGGACATGCTGGACAGAAGAGATAACTACTCATAATTCTAATCATATTCATAAATCGTATTCTCCGTGTGTGCTATATGAGGTGCAGATGCCCTTTCCGCAGTTCATATCCTTGCTGATAAACAATTATTCAATCGAGGGGAGGGATCGCCGTCAATGATTCAACAATTGGACCGTAGATGACAATAATTCCCACGAGCTCTCTCCGGAAGGATAAGCCGATATGACTTGCAAGCTCCCTCCACGGGGGATACACGCTTGTAAGCTCTCAGAAAATTTTTCGAGTGATGAAGATATGTTTATCCTGCGGGATTTCTGGAGGGAAATACTTTTAACTGTTCCCGTCAACAGAAGTCGCGGAGAGGAAACGTGTCATCAAGCGCTGCTGATGTTGGTCACGCTCGAACTTTTTCTATAACGTCTTCTTCTGAATACTTGGATAGGAACTTCCCTCAAACAATTTTCGAGGGAATACAATTGAGAATTCTCCCATGGATTGCATGGTTAGAGCGACTAGATGCGCCTTCCGTGGTGGTTCGCAAACGCTCGCCATCGCGGAGAGATGGCATGTTTCGTGACGTCTTCCCGCCGTCCTCAGATGGGATGGCCACTTGAACGTTTGGAATCATCCTCCTTTGAGCCCGGCGTGATCAGCCTTGGGCTCTCCCCGAGATACGTGCGCTTTGTGGACTCGAAAAATCATAAAATAGTCAACTCTTGGGTTTTCCAAGCTGATAAGTCGGTCCGTCGAATTATTGAGATTACCCACGTAGGGAATGACATCGCTATATAACGGGGAACTCCATCCCATTCTGGATATATCGTCCAAAAGATATCATCCCTCCTGGGGCATATTTTCCGCATTTTCCACACAATGAAAACTCGGCAATCAGAAGGAAAATTGTTCCCCGAGTGCGACATAATGCTGTCTCGTGGTAGATAGTGAACACCGTACACGCGATTCATTTAATGATTCCAGGAAGAGCATTGAGGTTCCGAAGAAAAAATTCGTACGGTATCATCCAACTCATTACGAAGCGAATCCTTTGCCTCTCGAGCTGGATCTCCGTACGCCTCTGTTTAGAATGAATCGTTTCCGACTATTTCGAGAGAGCAACCGTCACGGAGCTGACCTTTCGATTTCCTGGGGAGGTCAGGAAAGAGGTCGTTGGAACTCCAGTCTCTGCGATGCTGCATGCGGAATGAGGCGATTCGGCGGACATGACTGTCTTCAGTAATCACACAGACTTCTACGTTTTCATCGCGAGGGCATTGATCCTCATCAGCACATCTCGACGACAGAAGATCAGGGCCTACGCGTCGCTCTCATTCTCTGTCGAATACACTTCGCTCCGAATAGAATGACTACGCAATCATTCGGAGCACGGGGCACTGACTTCAGCGTTTCCCGACTTCCCAGATCTCCGACGTCGGCCAATGAGCTTGTTCATTTGCGCATTTTGTTCCCGTGTGTCTCAGAATGATGACCTGGTGGATATTTCACGAGGTATCGAGAGGGCTCCCTCGCCGGATCGTTATGAGAGGCATTATTGCGTTGAAATCAGCTACGGTGGGTTTGAAGTTTATTGATTCCGCTGAATTCGAAAACAGATCGCCGATGACACAGTGGGATTTGACGTCATGGATGCATGAGAAATCCGAGAGCGCCGAGCAAAGCGAAGCGAAAGACGTCAGGAGTCTTATTTTTCGCGCGCGAGGGATCAGTGTACGTATCCGTGCGGTTTCTTATACCACGGCGTCCGTTCCGGCGATCCTATTGAGCGAGCGTTGGAGTCGGTTCAAAATGTTAGTCACCGACGCCGACTTCGCCGAGGCCGCTACGACCACGATTTCTCAACTAGCTCGACGGGACACAAGTATTGGGAACCTCCGTCGAGACACGTTATTTCGCTGATCATGGTCGTCCGTCGAGCCCCCGCTGAACTGACTTCGCATAACTGCGAAACTGGCGGTCGTCTCCATGCCCTCCTGATCTGCATTCAGCAGTTCATATTCCAAACTCGTCGACGGATTGCGTAAATCTTCGGGTATCTTTAGGTAATCGCGACTCGGGTCTGAACAGGATACGCACCAGAGTTCCAGTCGAAACTAGTGTGCTTTCAGAGTTTGATTGTGATTCTTTTGGTTTTGAGCTATATACGGAGGAATTCTCCGAGATATTGTAGTCCGATAGGGACCCACTTCGAATACAACGGAACGGACGGCGCATGAGGGGAAAAATGAGGAGCGAGTGCCATTTACTGGAATTACCGTTGACTCGATTGTCTGTAACGGGCATCAGGGAGAGAAGAGGGGGAACACCGATTGTTGCCGGACGACGGCACGGCTTTTCGAAATACATCATTTTCCACGTCCAACGGTGTGTGACGACCGCCCAAACAGCAACCCCAGAGTCGATTACTGCACCAACATCTCGATATCTGCTTCGAATCATCGCATCCATCGACGCTTCTCATTCGCTTCGCACGTTCCGAATGACAATCGAACGGAAGGGACAGAAGGTTCACAGCTGCTCGATCACAACTGTGCGCGGCATATCGAGTACTTTCCGCGGAAATGGATCTTCGGAAAGCCATTGCCAACGACACTATACAGGAAACTACCGATGAACTAACCTTTGTGAAGCGCTCCATTAAGAATCCAAGAGCGAGACTAATTTGGGAGATTTGGAAGCGATGCTGTCACTGACTCGCTATCAGAGCGACCCACACTCCTTCGGGCTTCCACACACAAACAAAAAGCAAAACACGGTTTATAAGCACAGAAAACGAAAGTTCTCCGATCCTAGGGTGGGAACACCTCTAGATGTGATGCCAGGTGATGTTCTCTGTTGTACGAACGGAACGCGTGTGGGCTAGCTGATCGACACAGTCTTCAAACGCTGCAGCATTCAGCTGGGGAAGCCCCATTCCGACCTTGTGTATTCGGCCGCTTCGTCGTCGTCATCGTCGTCTGCAACGTATTAAGCGTTTTCTGCGCGCGGGTAATTCGAAAAGTTCCCGGACCGCTCCAAAATGTTTAGGAATGCGAGCTCAGAGAAAGTTTGTGAGAATGATCATGATGACGTCATTGGCGGCGAATCGATCGGGGCCCGAGTCACGCTTCTGGAGACCGTCGAGGGAGGTGATAACTTCCCCCGAACGTCGAATTTGCCGTTGGGCTTCCGGGCGCATCGGTCATCGAGTCTGTCCAGGATCGGAGATTGTCCTCTCGCAAGATCCGTGACTAAGTGTTCGGAGCTTTGCGGATTTCATCTGCCCGCTGAAACCTGCCATAAACCTTAACAACATGGAATGGCCTCAGTTTTCTGGATCGGTCAAGGCCTCCTACCTTTGTGTCAGCCTCCGTGTAATCAGTAATCAGGATGAGCTTTAGATAATTTACGTCAGACCTTCTATATTCTATAATGTAGTCGTGCACGGTTCCTTCCGCGGATGTCTCAGAAAATATTGGAAACAAACAACCGTAGTGAGGGCAAAAGAAATTCAGAGATGAGCATCGATCCTCCCCGTCGACCGATGTATCTGCGACCCCGATACCCGTCGTCCGCTTGGAGCATGAACAATCACTCGAGATTGGAAAGATTCCAACAACGTCCCGCATTCGATGAGCGGTATTTTCTCTCAGTCAGTGACGCTGTATACAGTGGAACCTGTCTTATCGGACCGCCCGCGGTGCCGGTGAAATTTGGTCCGATAAGTTAGGCGGTCCTGCGGCTCAGGTTAGGAATTTTTCAACCTCTGAAGACGTAAAATCCGTATCTGACTAAGTTTTGCGCTCGAGCCATCCGTTACTGCCGAGAAGTCTGCGATCTCTGTTTCGCGTGCCAAGGACTTGGCTTTCTCCTGAATCATCATCCCAGTAACCGGAATACGTTTTTCCGTCGCACTCCGAAACCAATGCATAACCTCGTCATCGAAGTCTTGGTTTCTCGGTTTCTGACGTCTTCTCCTGCCCTTCTCGGACGAAAAACTCCCCCATTCTTCCTGGAGGGCTTTCTGGTCCCTCGCTACCCTTAGTACTTGGGACTTTCTCACACCGGACTCCGAGGCGATTTCTCTCTAGCTCCTTCCTCTATCAACTTGCCGGATAACCTCGCTCTCTTTGTCTAGAGTCTAGACTCTAGAGTGAGCTCATTCCGTTGCTGGAGACCGAGAAATAAATCTACTCAATTTTGACTCCTCGCTGTCGCTATTCGGCTGTCGCTCGGAGCGAGCCCAGATGTGTATTCGAATTCATCGGAAACAGACGGCTGGCAATGCGTACGCCACGCGAAACGTACATTCACGCATCCCGGCAGTCCCCACGAGACAATCGATGTTTGTATTCTCATGATGAAGTCGAGACGTTCGGAAGCTTTCGGTCCGATTTCTCAGGTGATGGAGACCCTCGATCCCGGGGGAGGTGGTCCCATTGCGCGTTCGGAATAATATAGACCCTCATGGGCGGAGAAATCGCTTCTAGAAGAAAGTGGTCCCACAACCCCGGTGCTCCCTTTTTACGGGAGTTAGATCCTGAAGGGGGCGAGCGCGTCGAGTTTTCGATCCCCTGACGGACGTGCAGCCGGCGGGGGACGTAAACGATAGAGCAAGTCATGCGGACGAGAACGCTTTCCGAGACGATTCATGTGCCCAGAACACTGATGGAGTTCCATGTTTTTTCCGGGAAATGCTTCATGTATGCTTCGAGCGCATGGAAGAATCCCCCGCAAGAGCACGCGATCCGTGATCCAGAGCTGTGACAACTCCAAAACGGGTCTCGATGTCTATCCTTCTGGATCATCCAGAACGCGGCTTCGTCTCGAGAGGACGAGCTTTGGGGGGCGTGAGTCCGTAGAGGGGCATCTATGGAACTTTCATCCACAGTGATCAATTCAGTCAGGTCAATTTCTGCCTCGCTCGGAATATAATGCTATGAAAAAAAATTAGAGCATGCTCCCAAAGGGTCAGAAGCCATCGACGCCGGTGGCGCGGAAAGCGAATACCTACTTCTAAGAGAAGGATCGTTCTTAATGATCAAAAATCGATTTATTAGTCGAGTCATCCTTCGGTCTCATTAACAGTCCTTCGATCTGACCATACTATCTTGGGTTCGGAGCGACTGGACTGAAGCTCTCGAATCCAACGGCCACGGATCGGTCGAGTTCTTCGGCGCAACGGCTCCGCGACGCGCGACACTTCGATAATATGTGCTGAAGGGGCAGAACGCCAACTAAGCTCCACATGAATGCACGATTGATTGGATGAATGGATGATGAATAGAATAAATCAAAAATAGTATATCAGGGAGAGAAAAGGGAACCGATAAATGTGACGCTCCGGCATGAATGTGGGCATTCCAATGATGATTTGTGATTCTTAAATAAGATCTCGAAACTCAAGTTAAAGTCTCGGATGGATCCGAGTTCTAAGTGGTCTCGACTCGTTCTCCTCCGTTCCGTGAGGACGCCACCTCTCCTCGTTCGAGTATCCTGTTACCAGGAGCTTGTCCATCAAAGCTTTGGGAGGGAAGCGATGACGGATGGAGAATCCGAATAGGCGACTCAAATATGTACTTCCAGGATGGGATGAGGCGGGGAGAATGAGGGGAGAAGCCTCCCGAAGCGGAAAATGAGCGCACTTCCTCAGATGGAAACAGTTCCGAAGGAATCGAAGAGTGATTCTACGCCACGTTGCTAGATTTTCCTTTCGGTCACTCCGAACCATACCTATCGTGTCCAGCACTTCGGCATCGCCCGAGTTCGATTGCATCGCATTCCACTATTGCATAAATATGGTCTTCCTGGGTCGACCATGTGCGCGTTGAGGTTCCAAGTACCATCTCGAAAGAGGTAAGAAGAGGCAACGTCGCTTGGTACTTGTGAAGCTTGGTGTGAAGTTGCCCTCGTTCGGAGACGACTCATTGCTTCTCGGACTTGACTTCGCCGCTATTTTCGGTCGTGGTAACGTTGTTGTTGTTGTTCGCTTCGGCTTCACTTTTGAGCTTTTCTTGAGCCGCGACTTCCACCCGTTTGGCATTCAAACCAGAAAAATCCTCCAGTTCGCGAATTCGTCTCTCGTGCTTCATGAGAACCGCCTTCAACAACTTCACCTCGTCTACGAGCTCGTTGTACTTGTCCTCAGAGATTCCCGATGGGGTCTCGACCACGGTCGCTTCCCGGTGTTCAATTCGTCCACCCGAAGCGTCGCCGGCGGCGGTCGTCGGACGGGTCTCCTGCCTGTCGAGGATGTTCGATTTTGACTTTGGTTTCGATACCTGGAATTCTTTCTGTTTGGCTTGGTAACCATCCTTCAGATTGATCAGTATAGGCTCTCGATTCTCTCCGGAGATCCATTCGTCAGCAGTCAACGCAGGGACATCCCCGGGAGTCAATGGGTACAGATCTTCTTGGAAGAGATCGGACTGGAAGGGGGAGAAACTATTATTAAGTCGAGAGTTATTAATCCGAGACTGACCAATCAGTCTGCGTTCTGGAGGTAGCTTGCAATTCTAAGTAAGCGGATCGATGATCACCTTTCTCGGAACAGTGAAGGAGATTATCTCACAGAGCCCTTTGGTGTGCAATTTGTAGAAGCGCGCGATCTCGCATTGAGAGAAATCTAGTCCGCGCTTGACCATACCGCACATGCCTCGTTGGGGGTCCGAAGATTGATAAGTGCTGATATAGTGGACGAATGGAGGTTCGTCCGTGATTTCGAAGTATCGGATATTGCTGTCGCCTGAAATAGGAGAGAGGCCACGAGTCGAACATGCTCCCATTCTATGCAATCGAACCGATGAATTAATAATCTACTCAAAAAAGATGGACGGGCCTGGGGAAATAATGAAGCCTACCTTTGGCGCAGAGGAAGACGAGATTCACATCCGGATCGTAGTACGGAAACAAAACTCCGTTGCTCGTATCCAGCTCATCCATCATAACAGGTTCGCCAAGGGAACTTTCAACACGGAGAGCGAATTGTCTTTCTGACATTTTCGAGAATCCAGTGGTGAAAATCAATCCGTCTCTCAAATAAATGGCTTTTTGCGGCTTCGCCCCCTCGTGACCTTCGCCCTCGCACTCTACCTCCCCGGTCCGAGGGTTGTAGACCCGGATCTTCCGGTCTTTGCAGGTTGTGACCACACGACTCCCATCCCAGTTCCAACACAAGCTGAACACAATGTCTGGATGATCGATAACGGAGAGAATGTCTGACGTTCCGACGTTCCAGATGATCAGCTTACAGTCAGCACCTAAAAAGGATTGGAGTCAGCTTCGCTTGTCAAGGTGGCGCCGGCGCCATCGTTGACGTTTAGAGTACCAGAGCGCCGCTCGCGCGGATAATTGGATAATCAGGCGGCTGGAGTCTCAGGAGTGAGCTCAAAACATGGCTCGCGCTGCGCAGCGATTTTCCGACTTCATTCCCTATGAGATATTCGCGGGGAACCCTCGTCTTATCGGATTCACTTGCCAACACTAAGGAGTACGTTCAGAGCCGTTGGATGCCAGTGTATGCTTTGGACCTTTCTCTGATGACCTGCCAACTCGACCACAGGATCGGTCATCGTACGGATGAGCCCCATGTTCGGAATATTCCACACTCGAACCATGGTGTCGTCTGAGGCGGACGCGATCACATTGTCGTTGAAGGGGCTCCAAGCGATATCGAGTACAGGACCTTTGTGTCCTGCTACCAGAGGAGCATTCGGATCAACGCGTCCGACCTGAAAAACGCGAGAATACCTCAATGATTTCCTCAGTATACCAGGCATACGTCCGGAGCGGAAAGGTGCGAGGATGACAGACGAGGAAGGCGCACAATCTGACACAGGGGTCATCGCATACTCTTCGAAGATGTCGAATCACTGAAAAAACCCTCCTACCTGCTTGATGGGCAGAACCAGGAAAGCGCCTCCACCCGCTTGTTCGGTTATTATGGCTATGAATTTGGGGTTGGCACAGCAGAAATTTGAATCCCACGATGACTTTGTGATTCGAACATTATCATAACAATTCTCCTTCTTCAACGCTTGGCCGTAAGTGTGGCGGAACTTCGAAGCTCTCACGATAGATTTGTGCATGGTGGCTCTTTGATCTACCGACGGAGAGACTGAACGTTCAGGACTAGAATATTGATCCTGGAAATGGAAAAAAATCATGAGTTTTTGCTGTGAGATGATGCTCCGGCATCACTGCGAGGTATCAAGTCACACATTGTGACTTGTTCCCGACTCGACCGGAGCCTTCTCTGAGGAAATTAAGCCCGATGAGACACACCGATTTTCAGAGAGCAGTCGGAGCATCTCCGGAACCGGACGAAGCCTGGATCAGATTCCGAGACAATGAGAACGAGTGAGTCGATCCGCATCCAGTATCTACATCCCCGATTTCCCTCCATTCGGAATTAGTCTATCAGCCTCCGCTTGTTCGTCATATGCCAAGTGAAGGTTGATCGGAAAGTTACCCAAGCAAAAGGCCTCCTACTTGGCTATTGGAAAGCAAATGTCGATTGTGCCCCTATATGGCTCGACATCCTTTCTGTTGAGGAGAATCCATATACATTACAATATGCTCGTCCGTTCCGGGAGCTCCAAATGACTCGAGAAGCACACCTCGATCAGGATCCTATCGGAGGCATATAAAAAATGAGGGGGATGAAGCAGGAGCCAGCGAGATCAGCGATCCTCAAAGAATCGTAGCCCCTAGTTAGAATTCAACTAGGTACTTCGACCCATCAGCGAAAGTGAAGTGGAATCGTTCGATCGCCGGAAGTCCTGAGCTATCGGGGCTCTATCTCTACAAATTACACGGGGCACGTCGCACAGTGGGGCCAAATCGAATTTTAGGTGGACAAAAGTCCATGAAAATCGATCCCGGATTTTGATCGGTCATGGGTTTGGAAATGTCCGTAAGACTTCGGAAGTCGCGGGGGAACTATGATTACAACATTTTCCGCACCCCCCAGCCACCCTGGCACCTGCCAGAAAAACTTGATTTTTTTTTATTTTACGACAATTTTGATGAATTTCTCCCCCCAATCGGTGATTCTCGGAAATGAACATACTTCGTGCCCTCGCATTGGGGGGAAATTATTTTCTGCGCTCAGTTCCCTTCCTGATCTCGCTATCCCACATGATTCCGGTCGAGTCAGCCGATTCTGGACTTGCTGGGAAGACTTTTTCGCCGAGACGAAAAAGTTCGGAAATTCGTTAAATTCTCGATGTTAGAAATGCGGTGTCCCCACGTGTCCCCCCTCTGATTTTTCTTCTTTTGGGGAGTTTCGGACCTCTACTGGCCGCAGGAACAAAATTGGGGCGCGAAACCCAGCGGTTCTCGAATACTGTCCAGCCAAAGTTGGGATCTGATCTCGTGGATCGGGACCATTCTCTTGTAGCTTTTCGAAACCAAATCAGCACCAGCAGTTGGAAAACATTGTCGCTCTCCACTTAAGTCTGGGAACGAGTCAACGCCGCGTCAAGACGCGACGCCTACGTCTCGTAACGGAAAAAACGTCAATCGCTTCCGACATATGGACGTCAATCTCTTGGTGCTGATTTGGATTCAAAAAACTACATGAGAATGGTCCCGATCCACGAGATCAGATCCCAACTTTGGCTGGACAGTATTCGAGAACCGCTGGGTTTCGCGCCCCAATTTTTTCCTGCGGCCAGTAGAGGTCCGAAACTCCCCAAAAGAAGAAAAATCAGAGGGGGGACACGTGGGGACACCGCATTTCTAACATCGAGAATTTAACGAATTTCCGAACTTTTTCGTCTCGGCGAAAAAGTCTTCCCAGCAAGTCCAGAATCGGCTGACTCGACCGGAATCATGTGGGATAGCGAGATCAGGATGGGAACTGAGCGCAGAAAATAATTTCCCCCCAATGCGAGGGCACGAAGTATGTTCATTTCCGAGAATCACCGATTGGGGGGAGAAATTCATCAAAATTGTCGTAAAAATAAAAAAAATCAAGTTTTTCTGGCAGGTGCCAGGGTGGCTGGGGGGTGCGGAAAATGTTGTAATCATAGTTCCCCCGCGACTTCCGAAGTCTTACGGACATTTCCAAACCCATGACCGATCAAAATCCGGGATCGATTTTCATGGACTTTTGTCCACCTAAAATTCGATTTGGCCCCACTGTGCGTCGCTTCATCAGGAAGCAGTTTCCGAGTCTTGCGGTGCAAGTTGTCACTCTTATTTGGAAATTCGTGATTGCCGACCGCATCCCGGTCACTCAGTCGGCGTCATGGCGCGGACAGAAACAATGCTTAGTCAGCCCATGAAGCGTGAGGATTTCGTCTCCGAATGACTCATGAGGAAGCGATAAGAGTCCGTTTGTTTTACAACGTAACATATTTCAGTCACGTAAGAACTCGGCCACGGCTATCTTGAATGATTTGCATCCAGAGCTCTTGTCTACCAATGAGAGCTCTCCTCTACCTTCGCGGGGAAGTCCATCCGAAAATCTGAGACAACTCTCTCAATGACTTCAACTTAACCGGAAGTCCCACGATTGCATCCGATTGGGGCTTTGCAGTTTCGTTCAATCAATGAACCCACGATAGTTCGAAATCCGGATACCGTAAGACAGAGAAGGGTCCTCCAGAAACAATCGGGACCCACCATGAGATTCGGGCTGACGGGCCGGTCTCACCAACATCCGCTCTAATGTACACAATGATGTTCTCATCGAGTGCGGTACCCGCGGATATAAGCTTCGAGCTCGATTGCTTTTCGATCCAGAATAATCCGCATATTCGCATTAGCTCTGTTAGCTAGTCGCAGGCTTTGATATCGACGATTCACCTAACGTATTACACCCGTAGTCGCGAGTAAATTTACTCGAAAAGATTATTTCTCGGGCTTTGAGCAGAACGCCGAAAATCAGAGGAGACTCCGGGGAGAGAGCTCCGTTCGAGGAGTGATTCGGGCCAATACAGGAGCGTGACGTGAGTCATAGGACAACGTGACAGGCTCAGACCGGTTTCTTTCGTCCATTAGAAGTATTCGTGCGAAATCCATGTCTCAAGTGGAATCGGATCTTCCCGTTCACGGCTAGTGCTCTTCACATCCATCCTTAGCAGGGACACGTAGGGTAGAACCAGATCGGTCCTCAAATCACAAGATGTTCGAGAGAGCCTCGACCGACATGGGAAGAAGTGGTCGAAATTCGCCTATAGAAACTTTGATGGTTCTTCGGAGAAGCGGCCGCTGTCATGCTGATAACGGAATCGATCCTGAGGAACAATCACTACTCACCCACTCGATTCCAAATCACAAGTTGACAAAAGGGTAATACAGTCAGATCGACATCAAGTGCGGCTACAATTCGAGACGATCCTTATTTTGTTTGGAGTGTCAGTCGCTTTGTCACTCATTAGCCGCCGCTCATCCGCTGGCTCATCAACAGTGAACGACACTTTCAGGAGACGACGTCCAATCTGTACCTTGTTTCAATCACAATCCAGGGGAGGGAGACGGAGAGAAAAGCAAACTTCACGCTGAGATGACGGACATTGTTGCCGCCAAACTCCGAGGCACGTATCCGTCACCGCTACCCGGCCAGAGATGACCAAACTGAGTTGAAGACTGATTCACCGATTACCGCGTTTGCTTTTCCAGTGAGCGTTCGCGTACACCCAACTCAGAAAGATGATCTCAGCTGGACTCTGTGAGCTTTCGAGGGCTGGCCGGGAGCCTTTCCGATCCGGACGTGCACCGAGTGTGGAGATCCTTCTGTCTCTCCACTCGCTGTGGCCCAGACATGCACGGCGCACACCATGCAGAAGATGCGAAAGACAGTCCTCAGGCAAGCCGGCAGACAGCGAGCCGACACTTTTGGGCGCTGTTCGTCGCCTGCTGCTTGGTGAGTTTGTTCGCCAGCTCGCTGTTCGTTCGCTCGTCGTTGTCTTTGGTCGTCGTCGTGGTCGTCGACGGCAGCCGCCACGGCGGCCGGTACAGCGCCAGTGCTGCCTTGTAAGGGTCTTCTATCCTCCTCTCGACGATGATGCGGCGGCAGCGGCGGCCGCTGCTGCGGCTGTTACCGCAACTGCTACAGCATCAAATGGCAATGGTGCTCTTTCGGCCGCCGCCGGCGCCGTCGTCGTCGTCGCTCGCTGTGGTGGCAGCGAGAAGAAGAAGAAGATGACGACAAGGATGGACAAGAAAAGGAAGAGAAACTAACCAGCGGCGGCTTCATTATTCGCGACGGCTGTCGATGGTCGAGGAGGAAAAACTCTTTTTATCAGTCGAACCGAATTTTCCTCACTGCGTCAACTCATCCCTGTGGTGCTTCTCCTGTGAACCAGGCCCGTGGATCGAGTTCGGCTCCGCCGAGCGCTCACCGGTGCCTTGCTCCTCGTGGAATGTAACCCCAAGGGTACTCCACAGAGGTCGGCTTCGGAAGGTCCCGAGATGACGATGCTTGAACCTTAGCAAATGAACCGCGGTTCATGACCGCGACGACGACGCCAGTCCATGTCGTCGGAGATCCGAGACCACTGGAGACTTCTCACCGGTTTCGAGAACGAATCCTTGAGTGAACATGGGTGAGCTCTTGAAGGATCAGATTCGAGAATCCGTTCAAGCCGTGGGCTCCGGATTCTATTAGCTTTGAGAGTAAAGACCGATCAGGATCGGCTCATCGTCTCCGAATCCGCTCGAAGCAATCTGGCAGCGTGACTTGATCGAACTAGGAAGGGGTCAGAATGGTTTTGATCAAGGATCAAGTTCGAGGTCCGACCTTGGGTGTTAGTGAGAGTGTCGAGTCACCTGAATAAACGACTGCTCTCACTTAGAACTACCTACTTGCCATCAGCGTCATCTGGACTTCGCTTGGAAATCCTCCAAGTATGCTCTCGAGTGGGCCAACGACGGTCCCCATCAGCTCGATCACAGCGACACTTCACCCCTCTCGGATGGCCGACGCCTCTCCGATGCCAGGATCCTCGGGCTCGCCCTAGCTCATACGTCCCCCGGATGGAAGTCAGAGCAGGTGACATGCTCGAGCGCCCAACCTCTTGCTTCGGGCTCCCCCCGTATACCCACATGTTCAAACAAGTCAGAATGAGGATCTCCGCAGTGTCGTCTGCCA